TAGAATATCATTAAAGGCGTTACTTTTCGGTTTAACCGCGTGAAAGCCGTAAATTTCACAGTTAACAGCCGCACCATTCATCTACAGGTGAGTGTGTCTATATACCAGTTTTTTCATTCATATCAACCAGTAACTTATAAGCATGCCTCATGTGACAAACTTAGTTGAGAACAAATTATTATTATTACTATAAAATCAGCTCCAAGAATAGATTGCTTTACCTGTTCAACTGTGAAAATCCGTGAAAAAGGCCGACAAAGTCCAAGGTCTAATATTAATGACTGTTCACCGTATGTTTTGAAGACAGTTTTGTTGGCTCACTATAGTAGTACTTTATCACCCGATATGCACGAGGTACGGACATGTTGGTCAGTACATGAGCAAAAATCAGCATTATTCTATTAATATTATTGCAAAGGGTTCACCAGGTAATTGTGGTGGACCAAATATACAAATTCCAAAATAACGGTGACGTTATTACGAAAAGTGAATGGTTAGTTTGCTTATATACCAAAGTTTGAGTTATGCGATGAGAAAAATTCAGGACTTTACTCAGACCGTCAGAAGATGTGTTCGAGTTACTTTTTTGGTCACATAATCCACAAATATAAGTGGTCAGTGATTCCGAATACGATTAATATAATCCATGGTATGCATACAAAATGATCACTTAGCGAGGACGTCAATGTGCTACGTAAACATAGACAACGAATATATTACAGTTCTACTTTTGTGACAGCTAATAAGCAGAAGCGAGAACTATGTGTGTGTAGCAATGTAAGTGTTAGAGAATAGCGATGCTTCATGCCACGAACGTACAAAACAGGAATAGAAGCTCGACATCAATGTTTCAGGCAGCAATTTTACAGTCAATAGCAGTGATTGTACCAATCATTTGAGGTAAAAAAATTTCAGCATAATAATAAAAATATATTATCTTCATACTCCCTAATAGCCGTAATTCCCATTCAATACTCTACAGTCTCAACACCATGTTTTATTCGTTTTCTTTTGTTATATACTTCGTATTCCTTTTCCATAATTAGTGAATAATCATGTCTCTTGAATTCTCTTTTGACCTCCTCAGCATTCTTCTCAGCACACATCGAGCCTTAAAAATACCTTCCCAGAGTAAACGACATTGATAAATAGCGCTAACCATTAAAAAACCCATTTAAACCGCCTTTTTTATAAGGTGAGCTGCATTTGTTTATAACTTAAAACTTTGGTGTGTGAAAGGTGTGTCAATTTGATACTCATCAATTATTTGTATATCGATAGATTGACTTTGCTTATACTTATTGTCAGTTTTGTTACTTAGAGAAGTTGAAGGTATATCACAGGGTACCTGAGGGAAGAATCTTCACTGTGGAAAGGAAGCCGTGCAGAAATTATGTTAGGCTTCACTCGGTCCTTTAATAGATATCGGGGATTTAGTCTGTGCACGCTTTTTCGCTATGGCTGGGGAGTGTCATGGTGCATTTGAATGGTTCTGTGAAATGAAGTTAAGCGCAATCACGATTTGTTGCATAATACACTTAGGCGAACCAGATTTTGCTCGAGCAGGTTAAACTTGTCGCGTATCAAATGGGTCATATTCAGTTAATTCAGAGTGGGAAAAGACCGGATTCAAACTGTGAATATATGTGTACTTTACTGGAATCAGTTAGTCCGCATCTTATTTGAAGATTTATCCTCTATTGACCTACCTCACTCCACAGGATTATCTGTCGTTTGTTCATTCACGTCATGCTCACGACAAACATTTTTGATACTATTTACAGTATTAGCGATCGTCTTGAGTTGTTCGTTGTCTACAACATAGAAATGGAATCCTGAGAAAAGTATTCACACGGTTGCAAGAACTATTTGTGAGTATAGCACTAGTCGCGTATTGACCGGATGAATGCTTAAGTCAATGATCACTAGTATGATAGGAATTTAAGAGATTAAATACTGTATTTCGGCATGATGACATCGTCTAAGAAAAACTATCGACCTTTGGTACGGGTTATAAGAAAGGACATAGAACACAAACCACATGACAAAGGTTGCAACTTTCATAGTTATTGAGATGTTTGGCACAAGAAATAACTACGAAATACATTATTCTGCACGGTTAATTATGCTACATTTATTAGTTTAGTTTTAATAGTTCAGTACTTGATGTTGATAAACGTACTGTCATATCATTGTAGGGAAATAATTCCAAGTTTACCATTAAATATGAGCTCGGGCGAAATCAAGCCGAAAGAATCTTCTGAATATTCGTGGTTCCCACTCTGTAACAGCAATAGTAATTAGAAAGTATGGATTTAAAGGGGTTAGTCAGGCATCTGAATGCAAAGTTCAGAACTAATTTATGGATACCTGTCCCGACATATAAATTCGGCCCCTCAAACAAAAGCTAAAATCGTCAGAATCACCAGGACTCAGTGAATTACACACAGATTAAGACATTGTAGTGGTATTGGTTCCTAATCATACTATCTTTGAAGTTGAAAACGTAATCACTGAGAAGATTTACATTCATCACGCAACACTTAAAGAAGGTCAGAAAGTGAACGCGAGAATAATTGATCAGTATGGCATAGCTCAACCTTACAGGCGTAGTCATTCTGTGTAGCTCATACCTTTCCACATTGAATATATTATTTTATCCATATCCGAAATGTGTTCTTTAGAAGTACTAAGCATCATAATGTTGGTTGTCACTATAGGATGAGTAAGTATAGACAATGATGTGACTTCCACGTAAGGCCTTATAGGTTAGATAGTCACATCATGACGAATCTACAATTTTGGAATTAGGTCTATTATTATAGTAACGAAGATAAATGTACTAATACCAAACTGGACCATTAATCCACAACACCATATCTTGAAAATCCACTATGAAACTGCATGAGGTGTTGACTATTAACATTAATTATAAACCACTGTAATTTAAAAGTAGACAGAACAGGTCTGGATAGGAGCCATCTGACGAGTATTTGGTAATTCATGCTGAATATAAGTAATTAAGGCTGAGGTGTACTTTCTGCCTCGAGGTACACGCCCGTGTGACGGATCGGTGCCTGGAAATGCATCGGGTTTATGGTGAAAAATCAAAACCTGTGGCTTTGAAACACGACGAGTTGTAGGGAGTGTCTTCAGGATCTCCCCTTAGGATGGTTTTATTATACGACATTTAAGTTGTTTACTATCATCCAAATCAAAACTAGGGTAGGATATAGAAAAAGCACTCATTAAGGGCTACAAAAAGTGACAGCAAGTGATCAAGCTGTCGACTAACGATAGCGCAACGATTGCCATATAATAACGTTTGACATTAAGCCACCTATCAGTAAGACAAAGTGATGCAAGGCATATAAGTACCTCAACACCAAAACTAAAGGGAGAAGCGCTGCGCTCTAAGGCAAAGTTCCTCATATTACTTATGGGAATGGTGAAGGGTGAGATTTGTCCGGGAGTAAAAGCGTTTTTCAAAGGTGGAAGTGGCATGATTATTGCTTGGAACTAGACCTCTGTAAGATCCAAGTCAATGTGCATCACAGATGATCTGGAAAAGGCTACAAGGATGCGGTACGTAGGGTTTTAAAGATCCCGTATTAAGCCAACAACTGAAGACACCACCATAACATCTGGTGATTGTCATAAATACAGAGACACCTAGGATTGTATCTATCAATCACCTAGTTCAATAAGTCTGAAAACAATTAGTCCGGTTCATCTAATAGTCGTAAACCTCAGAAGTTGAATACCCCCACTTAGGCATTCGAAGGATGATACAATACGGAAGCTAAGACAGACAAATAACCTTGATGCGGTTGCAGGTGATGAAGACCCTGACAGAACATGAAGGGGGTAGACTAACGGCCGGTTGTTCTACGGAGTCAACCCTTAAGATTTAAACAACAGCTACGGGACTATAGAAGTAATGGCAGTTACGCTCTGTAATTCAAAAATATGACCACGAACCTTGGAAAGAAAGAACGATAATACTGAAGAAACGGCGATTTTTCTAGAATGTTATTGACAACAGAGTGAGTTCGTAAGACAAAATAATTTTATTAGATGAGACAAGGAACATAAACGAAAAATAGGGAAGCATTTCAGTAGTCACTTCGAACTCCGTGTGCTTACTCACATCCCTCTATTTTGACTACTTGCGTTGAGCTGGTACTGCTTTAGTCAAAAGGAAGAACCACTTGATGCGATAGAAGCAGGAGACACTAGCCTCCAAATATATTTCGACAGTTGCTTGGGATCAAAAAGTGAAGGAGTGTGAGGGTTGTAAGGAAACAGTAGTCATAGGTGGGGGGAGGTACGGTTTATAACTCGGCTATCTATAAGAGGAGAAACCCCACACAGTCGGTTGTGTCTTGATCCGATGGTGACATTAACAATATCTTCTGATTGTCGTGTCTATTAAAACTAACGAGGTTAGCGCCGATGTCAACTATTCACTAAATTCAGCCTTAACGAGTTACGTAACATCGCAAGACTAATATTAAACTCTTAGTTGGAATGATGACATTAGACGGAAGCAGCAGGTTTTCCACGAGATTTTGATATCTATATGCTGGAAGTAGTAATAAATGATACGGAGTGGAGACCTAAAACAGACTGTGATTTTCAACCGACCGACCGCCCGGAGACGTGACAAGGTTTGGTTACAATACACCCATTTTTCTGCGACAAAACCACTCACCTGACCTTAAAATGCACCGACCCCGTGTTGCATTCAAAGGGTTCAAATAGCCTCAATGGACGATATGAAAGATTTAAAATCACTCCCTGACCTCAAATTAACTGGTTTACATCATCCCATCACAAAAAATTAGATATTAGATACATATAGTCAGATCATGGACTTATAGATGCAATGATGAGACTCAGTGTTGACAAATTTGATTTTGTGAACAAAATATGAGATATAGGAAAGTATGAAGTCCTTTTTAGTGAATATCAAGATATGCACAAATCTTGTTTTACCGTGCTAAGCTGCGTGTTACTTTAACACCAGTCGGTGTTTTGGAAGTGTTGGACATGAATCTGTTCAGCTAGGTTAGTCCTTCTGAATTTTGTGAAATGGATTTCTCATTTCACCACTAAAGCAGGAATTAATCTTGTTGTTTAATGTTAGTTTTGCTAGTTAGTTTTTGTCCTCAGTATCATGGTGACCACCGTAGATCCACAATTGCAACGGTACCATAGCAATGGAAACCATATGTATTGCCGACTGATTTAGGTATGCCTTCTACCAGTGATTTAAATGTCATGTTATTGGCACGAAAAATTTACAATTAGCCATCAGGAGTTAGACCACACAAAGTTATTTCTTGCTGACCTCGCGTTCTAGAACGCGAGCTCCAATTAAACAAGAATGGGAAATAGAGGCGAACTTTGGGGAAATACGGACGACACTAAGAAAACCTGGTGTCAATTCATGCGATATTAAAACTAAAAATAGCCTTGCTCTCCTACTCTGGGGAAATAATGAGGCTTTTTGCCTAATCTTGGAGCGATAAATCCATAATTTCACACATTAGTGATCGCATGACTCCACCAAAACTTCAGATATCACCTACACTTACGATATACATATTCCAGTCGTGGCTTGAATATTCCGAAGTTTTGCCTTTGCTTCCCCATGAAAATGAACATTAGTGCGCATGCAAATTAACGCATAATATCAAATTTATTTCGATAATTGATGTTCAGCAGAAATTACTATGGAAGTGATACGTCCCCTAACTGTCAAGTTCTATTGTCATCTGACATCTGACAAATAAAATGCATCGGTTTCAGTGAACAGTATCGATGTTGCAGACGACAGTAATAAAGAAAACGTACATTACAAAATTAATTTATTAAAAAGATGCAAGATAAGCACTCAGTTCGGTGTCTCATTAAACAGTATTCCGTCAGTCGCCGTCCTGATCATTATAGACTGTATACTGAAATGTTTATCAAACTTCTCCATAACTGCATTTGTAATGAAGATATCCCAATCGCCCGGTGACCATAAATTATAACATGAAGTCGAACTCACAGTAGTGTTGCACAAAATGCTCCGTTGTGTGTAGAAGCGCTTTTCCCATGGGAAAATGCGTTACGTCAAATTTCAAGTTGTTAATCATTCTGGACCAGTATGTGGTTGCTTCGTGTCTTATTTGAAATATGCAATGACATAAGTGCAATCTTAGCTACAATAAACGCATCTAATTACTCGTGGTGCATCTTAATGAATATAAATTTGTGTATTCAAATACAAGCCACATTTCTAATGAGATCAAAGCCTTTTGTTTGCCTAGTCAATGAAGATATGTATTGAAATTCGAACGTGCAGTTGAGTTGATGACAATCGAATTCTTTAGCTCTAAATGCGCCTAGTCTGTACTTACCGTGTAGAAATCTGATCACTTCACTAATTGCATCTGTTATTCTAACCTTTACCCCTTGTGCCATGCTAGTCACAGGTCACTTAGAGTAAATGTTCTCTTTTACTCTAGGATCAGTGTTCCAAGCTGCTCTTTCCTCCTAGTTATCCTTTTGCTTTTATGACGTCCATTTCTACTACAAGGTTGTGTTAATTGTGCAAATAGATTACTGTATGTATGCTAGTTATCTTTTTCAGTTACTTTGATATGAACAAGTTCTTAGCACATTGGACAAGGGTACATTTTGAGCACTCTTACACTTAATCCCCTTAAGCGTCGGTTATCATTTTGACACACTGTAACTAAATGATTATTATTATTATTATTTGAACACATAAATATTGGTACAAGAGAGCGCCAATATATATGCGCCACACAAAACAATGGGAATTCGAAGAGAAAAAAAAAAACTAAGGAACGCAAAAGAAAAAGAGAGTAACTAAATGAACACTTATTTAATCTCGTAACTCGCTCATACTTGAATTTTCTGTTGTGATATCTAAGCTAATTCGCCACTTATGTAAGGTCACATGTGTTGGAAGTTAACAGTTTTAAAAGTCGTATCCTCACTATGAATATAACGTAATGGAAAATTCATATTTAGCTTCTGAGTACGTTTTTCCTACCTTTTTTCAACATCGTCTACTTACAAGAGGTAGTCTCGTGATATATATGGGAAGTTTCACCTAGTAAACAGATTTTATTGGTACTGATTGTCAAGTCACATTCACAACTAATAAGATCATGACATTCTATTTGCAAATTTCATCTTGGATAGTGAAATAGACGTTATATACAATTAAGTATCTCTTTCAAGGTAGAAAGTGTCTTATTCGCCATAACTTGTTTTTGAAACTAATTGTGTTAAGTGTAGTGTAGCGGATGTCTCGCCTACGCCAAAAGTAGTAACACAGGTCGGCGAAATACAGTCGAGCTTTTTGAATCCGTGTCAAGATTTCGGCAGACACCAGCTCATCAGGATTAGAGACTTCCAAGATGGGTGAAGCAGTCGATACACTCAACTAACTTCCTATCATTAATTCAGGCGCTGACGTAAGCCAATTCGAAGCTACATTTTACATTTGGAGGGCGAGTACCGTATCCTAAACATGCTTGGATTGTTGCTTAAGCTGGTTAAGAGACTGCATTTTTTCAGCGTCTTGACCAAACAGAACTGTCTGCTTATTCCAAGACAACAAGTGAATCTGGTAGATCAATCCCTGAAGAGTCAGACAGTTATCTCTAAAAGCATGTCTATGACAAGGTTAAATAAAAATGAGGTAAGCGGGTAACTTTGATAAATACCACTTAAAGTAACCACTTCCGATGACAGTTTTCCATGAGCTCTGACTCGACCAGTAGTAGTAGTGTTCGTGTTCAGAGCATGTACAAGGTTAATGTATCTCGGTACAGCTTTCAATGACAGACACTACCACAGAAACTCACGATCAATGGGGTTGAGCGCTGTCTTAATGTCAGGGAATATAACTAGAGTCAGTTGTACGTTAAAAGTATGTCTATTCCAGAATCTGCCGAAGGGTGAATGTTTGGTCTATACAAACACGTCCAGGCTTGTAACCAGCCTGGTTGTCTCGGGTTTGCTCCATTTAGGCATTAAAGTATTATTGAGGTTAGTATTTTAGATATAGTAGTCAAACTAATTCCTTTGTAATTGTTACAAGAGGGGTTTTATTCTTTTCTTATCGATTGGGATGATCAGTTATTGATACCACTCATGGTTAACTTACTCCTTATCTAGTTGTCTCTAAAATATATTATTGACTTTTCCATCATTATATTGAACTCCAAGGAGTTTTCTTGCTGTGGCTTTTCTACGTCCAGTATGACCCAGACATGTATGTGCTTGTAGTTGAGCATGGTCTGAGTCTAAACATGTGCTCAAAAATGTGATGTAGTCTTCTGTCGAGCTTCTCCAACGATGGCATTGCGGTCTATTAGAGTCCATCGGTGAGTCGACAATGGGGTTCGCCATGTCAGATGGTGTTCCTCCTTTTGCTTAAAGTTGGTTCTCGCTAGAAACAGTCTTACGAACATAATTGAGACAGACGGTCACTATTATCTGTTCTCTAAGCCTCAACATCGTAAGGTCCACCTGGATATTGAAATCACTTGACACTTATTACACCTGAGCGTTTAACCTTTTAAAGGCGGTTGAAGAACCATACGTCCTCATATTATAGCAGTATTTGATTGAGGATTACGGTTCTCCATCTAAACTTCGTAGTATGATATTGCTTCAAATAATGTGCCATTGAAAGGCGTACTTTAGAAGTACATAAACCTTGTAAGGGCTCTCTACTCAAACACTACCTGTCAAATCAGAGCTTATGGCGAACTTTCATCTGATTTTACAACCTCAGGTTGTGTCCGGAAAGGCTGTCCACTATCTCCATTTTTGTTTAATTTCACTATATATTTACTTCTGGAGATAACGTTCTGGTCATCTGAATTTTCGGGAATTGATCTACCGAGAGGTCCACTTATCAAGTTAGAACACGCAGATGACATAGTTCTATTTGTTAAATACGCTGATAAAATGCAGTCTTTTAGTATCACTGAGCAACAATGCTAGGATTTTTGGTATGCTTTTCTTTTCGTCTAAATGCAAATTGTTGCTTCAGAACTGGTCCCTGTCAACGCTTGAACTAAGGATAGGGAGTGAAGTAGTCGAACGCGTCGACAACTTCACTTATCTTGGAAGTCTGATCAGCCCTAATGGGTTGGTGTCTGGGGAAATCTCTGTACGGATTTAAAAAGCTGGTTTGGCTTCTGCCAAATTACGTCACCTATGGCGAAGGCGAGGTATGGCCACGCGTATACAGCCGCTACCAGGAAGTCCTACTCACTGCTTCTCGTGGCAGGGATGTTGTTTACGAATTTGAGAGGACGAGAAGCGGGTTGGTGAATACGGAGGATACATCTAAGGGAGTTTGAAAACCCTGATTCCAAACCAATGGTGCACATGGGCTCCAGTATTCTGAGGGAACAAATGGCGTATGAACCCATTATTGGTCACCGGCCACCATGGGACTGCATCTCCTTATGTTGCCCCACTGCCTTGTGCATCAGACCTTTGACCAAAGGCTCCGGGTGTGGCTCCCAAAGAAAACCACCTGCTTCGATTTGGGCACCCAGATAGTATCATAGCTCACACACCAATCAAGTGGCTTGTGTGGCGCATATGTATTCGGTACCCCTTTGTACCAATATTTATGTGATTAAATAAATAATAAATAAAAGTATTTGTTCACGGATGTCTTAGAAACACTGCCAGCATCTGCTTGGATCACCGGGTAAGCAATAATGAGGTTAGACACAGAGTATTAGGGAATGATGGTAAATCAGTCTATGAGGTTGTGAATCTCCATCGACTAAGATGGTCGGGCCATATATTACGCATGCCTAACCACCGATTACCAATGGTGACTAGTGTTGAAGACGGTTGGAAGAACGTTAGGGGCGGTCAAACCAAAACGTTGCATCAGTCCGTAAAATCACTAACTTCTAATCTGAGCCATTTTGGCAGATGCAGACTACTTGGTTGGGGTCCGCGTGACCATCGTAACCTGTGGTTGGAGACTGGGTGACGGCTCAGAACCGGTCACAGTGGTGTAGGTGCATACACTCTTTGTCTTCCCTTACCTTTCTACGAATCAATCCTTTCTCCCTGTATTATGTTCTTATATGCAATCTTTCTTTTGTATATTATTACCATTGAAGTAACTACTTCTAAGAATTCGGTGTTCATCTTGTGCTAATGAGGTATGGCAGCGTAGACTGATACATATATGTGCCTGGTCCTATATTGTAGATAACTGGCTGATTGAAGCAAGTTTACGGATTTGACTAGGTTAACCTACCTTAAAGTGACACTAGTTATAAAGACTCCTATGATCTTTAGTCCATTCAGTTATAATTCAAGTTTATTTTCGTGCAGCAATGCGCTTTATGCGTGTAGGTTCTCGACGTAGTTACCGACTGTTAGTTCCCGTTCCTGGTGTCAAAATGTTACCTTATCCAAACACTTGTTTATGCTAAACATTTCTCTGTCCTAATTTGAGCCTAGGTGATTATACAGAATGGTACATATTCGTACCAATTTGTAGGTTCTGCATGTATATTAATGCATAAGAAACCTGTTTAAACCGTTATTTTTTCTTTAAAAATGGCATTTGTATTTATGACTGTTTAAAGTCGGAAATAAGAACTAACTCCTAATATCTGATGAATAACTTTTCGGCTATATATCCTAGTCGTAACTATGTGCTTGTTTATCCATATATAACTGACATTAGAATTTTTTCGGTTACTTAAACAGCAAGTTGAAAAGGTTGACCACATCAGAATATTTACCAAATATTATAAACACAATAAAGTTGTATGTGAATAGCTGAATACTGATACTTTTAATAACATTAAATAATTCTTCCTCTTGACCTACACAAACTACGCCTAGTATTTATTACGATATTCGTAGGTGAGATTTGTAGTTATCAGTAACGTCAATATCTGGTGTAAGCTTAATTCGTACAATTAAAGTTTTCTACTTATATTTCCTATTAAGATTGTTTTTGGTATACACACACTCAAGCAAAATAATTTAAAATTCACAGTTGCTGGTGTTAAAACAACTCAACTTTTCAGTATCATTCAGCAGTGTAAATACCAGGTTTTATTTAATTTACTTTCTCAGCGTTATAGTGTGTAAGAGTTCTTTCAAGTTGCCGGGTGTTTTTTATTAATTTCCCAATTATTACTAGACTATTTGCGGCCGTTTTGTCTGGTATTAAGTTGAGATTTTCTTATATTCACTGATGACGAAAGTGGAGTTTCAATGGTTCATCTTCCATTATATACGGGCTCAATAGATTTCCTACAGACTTGTAGAACAGAAAAGTTGTAGTTTAAACTCATTGCAATCTTGTATTCGAAGGACTTAAACTAACATGGATTATTAATTATTAACATGCCTCTCTGTATTCAGTTCATTAGGTTTTAATCAATTTATTAGATAATACAACGTTCATTGTGTAACCCTAAGACTGACTGCTATATTTGGAGAGATTACGAGTTCTAAATTTGCGAACGGAACGAAGACTCAGAGACAGGACCCAAAAGCTAACTATAATATACAGTGATCCAAGCGACTTTCAAGCTCTTTACTTATGTTTTTATACCATAGAGTGGATCATGGTGGATGTTCCCTTACTAACTCATATATCTGAAACTACAGACTGCAGCTCATCTTCCTGCCAGGCATCATCTGCTTCAGACGATTCTGTTCCTGAAGGCTATTTAATCTTGACATTCGATAAAAAGAAGAAAGCTGTTTTAAAAACCGCTGTGTTTGCAGATGTTTCGGATCCTAGATTTGCAGATGAGTGAGTCATTTAAAGTAAACTTTTTTTATCATTTACCAAATTTAGCCATCTTGTCATTTAGTGTAAAGACGTCAGTAGTTAATTTTGCGAACTATGTAGATGATTCATTTTATGAATCTAGTTCAGTTCTTAATCTACTGTTTACATAGCATCCGTTTTCTAATCTGGTTAATACAGGCTAAACTGTCGAATGCTAATAATCATATAATATGTCAGTATGACGTATTCATGTTTAAGCAGTATACCTTTTAACCAATATGCTATGGGTTCGATACCCACTTCGCCCGTTGAGATGTAGGAAGTGAATGCCATATTCTGGTCAATATGAATCCATCATTTACAATATTTGGACAAACTTGAAAGTGGTTATTGATTTACATGTAACTATTTGTTTATTTAGTGACTTCAAAAAGTGGAAGGTAGGCGATATCGTACTAGTTAATTTGGGCTGGAAATGATTCATAGACCTTTTCATAAATACTTGCAAAAGGTACGAAGATAACTGACTATAAAGTTAATAAAGATAATCTAAATGTCTCTACAGTATTACTGAAAAATTTTCCTAACCTTTTAGCTACTTGAGTGTACAGTTATCAAAGTAATAGTTTTTACTTGCCTGAGAACTTCGCTCAAATATGTATCATCATTATGATCTTGCGATTTTTCGAGTCTGTGAAAAAACAAGTCATTATTTAGTATCTAATATATGAGCTCAATGTGGTTAACTGTTTCGACTATCCGAATCAACAACCATAAATGTCCAGAGTTATAAAGCGTTAAAAATGAAAATGCTGATAGTGTTATTTTTAAAGCTGAACATAGGAATGAAGTACATGGATCCCTATACAGTCTATCATAGAGCATGCAAGCTATCATATATTACTACTATCAATCAGTTGTAAACAACGAATTATAAGCTGTTACACTTCATATTCATAGGGCTAGCGGAGATTAATAAAGGTGAAAGCCAAAGAGTGAAAACAGCAACGGTAGTTAAAGACTAAACAGCTAATGCAGTCGAAAAGGAATGGATGAAATCGAGTTTAGAAATTGTGAGACAATAATTAAGCGATGTATAAAAGTTGAAGAATGGATGAATCTACACTGACTGGTGTGAACCACTTCATTTAGGGTTTCCGAGCTTATTTCACCATTTCCTTCCAAAATCCAGTCATCAAATTTAAACTGGCTGTAAAAACTTAAACGACAACCAATGACTTCGTGTATTGATGACACATCTTGGTTCCTTCCATAGTGCACCAGGGTACATGGTTGTTGGATATGTGTAAAATGTACTCAAATTCACTTAGCTAATGAACACTTAAAATCTTATCAAGATTTCCCCATACTTATTAACTGTCATACCTTTACAAGCTATTTGGTCCAACCTACATTGGTTTTTGACATATCTAAACACTCAATAGTCGCGCGCTTATAATCTCTTTAATCAATTTTCCATTATGTGTCTCAGTATCTCTCATTGGATAATTCTTCATGCCTCGACGAATATATATGAAACGCTTGCCATTGAAACATCAGCATATTATTCAACTATAGTAATCACGTTGTAGTAGTGGACGAATTGATATTCAGTCGATTTTACGTAGCTAACTGTGTATCACATTTCAGTGTATAATAGTGTATTTAAGCTAGCGCTGACTCGACATATTGCATACATATCAGGATTTGCTTATCATTGACTGGATCATAATATTTGGTGTAAATAATAAACTAGGTTGAGAATAGAACTTTTTGTCACTACTTGTCTCCGATTTAGAACAACGTTCTTAATCTGACGAATCAAAATCAATATCCTACCCAATCGTTTTACGGGCGTCAGAAAAATGGAGCATTGATACGTACCATATTTGCCCAATGTCTTTTTATGTGTCAATAATCTGCTCTTAAAAGCATCCACTAAAATCACTCTGAATTCAGAAAGCTCATCGGGTTGTAATCTTATATGTTCAGTATATGGCTTCTATTTTGAAGTCCCACGATAACACGTTTCTCACAATCGTTTAACGCTAGCCTTTGACTGAAACGACCTTTTATTTTGTTGTAAATTCTCAATCCATTTATTTAAAATATTATGGTTATTTGACGTTAATTGACAATTTGTAACTGCAGATGCGTTTTAAGTCCAATTATTTTTTTTTCCAAGTTATGAAGATGATGATGAAGATGAAAGTAATGATAACTGTTGGCCACTTCATGAGTCCAAGTTAGCTGTTCACCAGCAGGAAAATGATGGCGTACTTGAAAATGAAGTTACTGATGCCAAAGGTTTTTTGTCAAAACCTCTTGTTATTTCTACGGATGCAGCTGACAAAACTTCCTCTTCATCTTATACTTCATGTTACGGCGAAGCCTTTTGGGTTGGTGAAGATGAGCTAAACGTAAAACAAAATACTACAAGTTCTTGGGATCTATCGCCTGGTAACAAAGTATCTCAAAGTTTAATACGTACTAGTCCTTTGACGTGTGATACTCATTCAGTAACTCCGACTTCAACTTTACAGTCATCTACTGAAAGCTGGTCTTTGAGCACACCTCAGTCAACAATAACTCGACTAACCGGCACTTTCCCTTATCGCAAAGCTACATATCCCATTAATCATCTTGCCAGAAAATACAACCATAACACGTTTTCATCTCACTTCCAGCCTAAATGGCCTAGAGCATTTAATGTCCATTTAGGTGATCATTCCAAAAAGATGCTCAGGTGTGACCAATGTGGCAAATATTACCGTAATGATTATAGCCTACATCATCATATTTGCTTAAAGCGCAAAGATGTGTGGAAGAAAGGTGATGTGCCGTCTGAAATGATTGATGGTCAAGTTATGTATTTTTGTCCCAGTTGCCGTAAGCCTTTTAAATGGCTTGGTAACCTTACACGACATTTCTATGTGCATACAGGTCAAAGATTCTTTCGGTGTGATATTTGTTCTAAAGAATTTTTCTCTGCTTACCAAGTTAAAAGACATATGAATTCACATACAGGTGTCCGTTTCAAATGTGAAGTATGTGACAAACCTTTTACATGTAAATACGCCTGTGCTTGGCATACTAGACAACATTATGCTTATTCATTAAAATAATAAATTTTAAGAATTTCTCTCTGATTCTTCCAAATGAATTTTTAGCAACGAATATATACATACCTACACTTTGCTTTTTTACGTTTCAATGAAAGATATTCAAGCATACACCTTGCACAATGATTTATTTTTTTACTAATAAAATTTCAATATTAGCCAATGTTTTTAATATCTTTCTTGTATTCAATATATATTATATCACATTAATAATTCACGTGCCTTAAGTTACGCTACATAATGCTCGCCACCAGCGTCTTGGATATTTTGATAACTTGTGAGTATATTTATTGATAATATACACTTACATCACACTTTCTAATCAACTGAGAGATTGCTCAATTCCCTCATGGTGTGTTTGTTACATCTCACTGATATTTAATTAAAACAGTATTCTTTTATATTATAATTTTGCCTCTTATAATAATTATCAACTGTGGCGGGTAATAAATACAAATACTGTGCTGTGACAAAGAAAACCTGTTTGCACCTCTTACTAGCCATTATAATAAACACAATCGTTGAGTATTTCTTTGTTTTTGTAACTATTTTTTTATATACATGTTTACACTGTTTTTGATAGAGTATCGTATTATGCAACAAAAAAAAGTGAACAAACAAACAATCTGACATAGGTGACCCCTCGTCAACATCTGTTCTTCCAAATATTCCTATCTTCTCTATCATTATGACCTACTTTGGAATCTGTTGTGCCTTGCTTTATTCGGTTACAGTAGATGTTTGCCTCTTTGTATGCACTTGGTTTTTATATATATTGCCTTTTTTCCTAATTATTATTATTACCATTTATTATTAACAATCTAAATTCAAGAATTTTTTTGTAGAAATTGGTGATTATTTTTTGCTTGGTTTCTTATTGTTATTCTAACAATTTTAATGAAAATAAAGTTTTTTTTTAAAAAAAAGGAAGTGCACTCGTAACTGGTTTATGTGTAGTTAACATGTTTTATCTTGTTGTCTTCTTTCTATCCATCAAACTAACATTTTGAATATAAGTTGGTTATGTATAACGATACCATCTGTTGTTGATATAGAAAACAAGGTCATGTAGAATAAGTCAAACTTCAATGTAACGGAGGAGAATATACGGTGATAATTATAACGATAATAGTGATATCATATACAGCAGCTCTATCTGCTTCTAGCCCCTCCCGTCAGCTATTCTGAAGACAAGTCTTATTAAGATTTATTGAACGAAACCAAAGAAGAATAAATTTACATCCAAGCTAATTCATTTACATAGTGATTCAGTGATTGTTAGTCACAGAGTTTTATTAACTGAGCAATTGTCAAATGAATACGAAGTTATGGTGAAATAATGCAGGGAAAATGCATTGAGAATCAATGGACTAAATGCAGTGGAATACGCTAAAAGTTGACTGAGCAAAGATCACTCCAAATTGACATACAAAATTAAGATTGATTTTTCCTCTCGTACATAGTGTGTCGGAGGTATAATGTATTCAACGTCATCCTCTGTAGCGTAGGAGCGAGCGATTTCAAACCGTTACTTGTTATATTCAAACACAAAAATATGGAAAATATACTCGAATTTCTCTATGATTTTTAGTTTGGTATTAGCGTAACACTTGCTCACTCATCACTAGTGCACCATAAAATGGCTGTTTACCGAGGTCCTAGATCCTGGAAAAGTGAATATGAGTTGGTTTAATGAGTGAATATTTAACTTCAGTAGTCATATTGTGATGCTGACCCATCTTCATAAACTCGTGTTTTCATTTACTGTAACTGCTTTTATGATAACTAAATCTACTATAAACTTGGAAATATTTTTTAACGTTTTTGTTAGTGGATAGATACCCTTAAATATCGGTCTTTTAACTTATATATTCAATTCGAAAGTGTACCACCCGAAATGCCTCAAAACAGCAACTAATAACTGGTTTCATGTTCTTATGGTACACATTTTTTCGGTCAGGTCTAGTCTTCTCCCAAATTCTATTCCTCTGTTAGCAGGTGTAGTGTTCCAGCGTTAACGGTTGGTTATTCAATATACCTAACGTGCAACTCATTCTTCTTAATTGATAAAACTTCACAGGCTCTTCAATCGATTTCAACTTTCTTCTTTCTATAATTCGTTAGTTATGTCCTTAAATAAATGATATGACCAATCAGATTTTACTTAGAACACCCACTCCTTTTGACTCAGTTGACATTGGTGTGTGGCCTGTCTTTTTTCGCACGTTAACTACAAATCGATTAGACATGCAAACAAGCAAATTTCTGGCTGTTTAGTGTAGAATTCTAATGCTTGTTTCAGCAATGAGACTAAAAAGTCGACTTGAGCGTCAAGTCTTGATGTATGAGTAATATGGAAAATAGTGCTACCGTTTCCGAATTTTTTCAGTAGTATTATCGACAATAAAAAAGTTAGGGCATAGACGATATAATTCGAGAAGATATGGGTCGGGATAAGAGAATTTTGTAAAATTAGGAGACTTATAATATAAGAGAATATATCTGCTCCATTGCGACCAATTCTAGATCATGTTACCTTTGAACCTTGGTGACTACGATAGTCGCGCGGAGCCTAAGCAGGTAGTCTGCAACCACCTACGTGGCTCAGTCCAATTTTCGATGACTTCATGAACTGGTCCAGCGTCTTGGTTTGACGACTAGTTTTCTTCCAATCCACTATACCAGACAATACCCCCCTCGAAGTAGGCGGTAGTTGGGCTTATGTAATAAATGTCTCAACCACCGTAGTGATGAAGATTTACTGCCATCCTTATCCAATGCCCTATGTCCGACCACAGGACTATTCATTCAGATCCACTCAGATTCATGTGTTCAACTTTGAGTCATCTTTATGTAAGAGCTCGGGAAATTATAGGGCTCTCAGGAAAAGGTGGAGCGGAGTTCGTATATGCGACCTAATCATTGAAGGTTAAGTGGTCTAAGGACTAATTCGCCACTCCTTACAAGTGGCGTAGAAAACATTCAAAATAATTGCTAGAATGCATTTTGTACGAAGCTGTTCGAATAGAACAATCATATTATAGTCTATGTTAAAATATGCCCCACATTCAATTTCATTTGTATTTGTTGAAAAAGCCGAGATTCGAAAAGTATGGAAGATGCATAAAGGAGCAGACAAATATGGAGTATAATGCATGAATATGGAAATCAACTATAGGGTAGGATAGCTGAAATAAGTCACTCAGTTTTTATAGTCAAATAAAAATATTTAATATGCATAGATGCATACATAGTAACAGGCGCACATAAAATCTGGAAAAAGTATTTTATACGGATGAATAAATACGCGAAAATAGGTATACAATATCACGAAATACTTAGTCGAGTTAGACCAAGACATTTACTGGTCAGGCCAAAAAAATGGATAGAGGTGTGATGAAGGTTGCTACAGTATCTACCAATCGCAAAGAATTAATCCAAACACTGAAGTTGAACATAATCTACATGTAGCAGCATTATCATTTTACAGTGTAGACAGTCAACCATTCACATACCAATAACAGTATTCGAACAATCAATGTATACAATAAAGCTTCCTCTTTCTAAAATTTCCTCCTATTCCTAATACCGATTATTCTTCTATCACTCGAGTACATAAATAAGTACTTTTGGAGAATGAGTTATTTATTATCATACAAGTATGAAATAACTAAGCAATACTTTCTTGTGTATAACAGTTTCTCAGTTAATATTATTCAGTTGTTATGGAGTCAAGAATATGTCAATTGATTGAAAAGCAAATGAATCATGTGTAAGGCAAATACAGTGAGTGTTGAATAATTTTAAATATACCTTCCCTATTCATGACGTCTGTCTAGTAGTGTTTCATCAACTGGAAATATTTAGATATATTTAAGAATACTGTTTAATCTTATATGTAACGTGTGAAATAATTAGTCAGTATTAATTTATAAACGTTCATGCAAAAAGGGAAGTTACCTAACTACGGGTTACATATGTATTATAAGTAGTTTTTGTTGTTGTTGTAATAACTGATCATTTCTATCTGTCTATTTGGTAGTAAAAACAAACCCAGATGAAATAATAACACATTTAAACATTAATTGTCAAATTATTTAAATCATAGTGTTTTCCAAGAATAGTATCATAATAAAGACTCTAACTGACAATGTCTATAATTAGTCTTATTGATAGAATTGCACTGAATTTTTATCGGTAGTTAACATTCTAAGTATCAGAAGGGGTTTTGTGGAGATTGTAGTAATTTAAACAGTTGAGATCATGAGTCAATTGAAGTTAGACCACCATGGAAAACCTGGAAGCACTGGACGGCCGTCTCGTCCTATTGTGGGACTCCTCAGCAGTGCGCATCCACGACCCCGCCTCGCGGGGTTCGAACCCAGGACCTCTGTCTCGCGCCAAGCACTTAACCAACTAGACCACTGAGCCCCTTCTGATACTATTCAACAAATGCTCACTAGTGACTGGCTTCAAGATGTATATCCTGGAGCTCTAATGAGAAGCAGTGACCGGTGGAGTTCAACCGGATCAGTTGTGAGGTAGTAACTCACTGATGACAATGGTGGATGTGTCGCTCAATTTCGTGGATTAGTTGAAGTTAACATTAACAGCGTCGGATGCCGGCTGTGTTCCAGTTGGTTAAGCGCTTGGCGCGAAACTGAGGGGTCCTGGGTTCGAACCCCGCGAGGCGGGGTCGTGGATGCACACTGCTGAGGAGTCCCACAATAGGACGAGACGACCGTCCGGTGCTTCCGGGTTTTCCATGGTGGTCTAGCTTCAATTGACTCATGATCTCAACGATTTAAATTAACATTATAATCTTGTTCCTATCTTAGGATTTATTTCTATGAACAATCATTATATGAGGGTTATGAATTGAGCGGATCCCTTATTGAATGAATGCAAAAGTAATATTTAGATTGTAAAAATGGTGACTATTTAAAAAAAGCTTTAGAATTATCATTACATAAAATATAGTAGGGATTTAAGTAATATTTATATATCATCAAATCTATTCGGTAAAAGATGTGAATGATTTCAATCTGGATAAAATTTCATTAAATGTCGGTCTCTTAATTGGTTCGAATTCCCAACACTTATTCATAAGTGTTAACCTAAGAGAACAAAAAACATTAAAAAAAACTTAATTATATGTACCAAGTATTCGTGATGAGAAGTTATGATTAACAGTCATCACTTCAAAGTTCACTCTGTTATTTACAAGCTATATATATATATATATATATATATATATATATATATATATATATATGTAAGAAAAAAAACACAGTAAAATCTGAATGCAATTGTTATAACGCTCGGTTTTACTTTGTCTAATGTTATAACGGTTGGGTTTCCACGTTTCCACATATTGGATGTTAATTTACCTTAAACGAATATCTACACTAGATTCCCTCCCAGTGTCTATTCTACAGGATGTCGACACAACTTAGATCAAGAACACATAATTAGCCTGACCATAACGTTATGTATTTCCACACCAAAACCCGACACAATTCAACAACAATGAATAATAAATGAGTCAGCATAATAATAAGGATAGGGGAATATATAACTAATCTGATACTTATCAGACTATCTACATGTCTGATTAGGCAGATAACCAATCATTATCATTCTCGCCCATACATCAATAATTTCATTACAACCTCATTAGGAAGATTATAAAAATGTTATCCATCAAAATTTGTATATTAAACATTATATTACTGTTAAGTAGTTTACATAATTTATGCAAAATTACTTATTCTACTCAAATCGATTTTTGTTATATAATCAGAGGAGAAAAATTTGTGAAATATTAGTTACTGAATTCTAACTTAATGACCAGAAATATTACTCTCAACGAAAGAAAAAAAAAGAAGTCTTGGGTTAGAATGTTTTATAAACAATTTCAAAGAGTTGCAAACTGTAACCATCTACCTAACTGCTCATCTCCTATCGATTTTGTTAATTCATCAAGATATAAAATATCTTGAAAATGAAAGATATAACAATATTGTTAAA